TTTATACCAAATAACATTTGTTCCCAAGCTTTTATAAAATCGAGTTTGCAGGATTCATTCAGACTCTGAGATTCTACACAAAATAAATAAAAAATGTCATATCTGATTCATATTTAATTATGTTGTAAAAAAATATATTTCAATCCTTTAAATAAATATAAATAATCAAATACACAATGAATTTTTTATCCCAATTTCCATTGATTGCTATTTTAAATCGTTATATTCCTTGATGAAGTTCATCACGTTCAATTTAATAAATAACTTTCGAAGCAGGTGCGTCAACACTGTTTCTTAATATTCTTAATAAACATATTCTTTAATTTTAATTTTAATGGCGCTGCGATGCAACCTGCGTAAATCGGTACGAAAGGATGTGACACGAAAATGATAAGAGGATCTCGAAATCGTAAGACAAAAAAATACATTGTATACGTGATGCCGCCGCCGTCTCCCAGTTTATACAATTTTATCTTCTTCTTTATCTCCACCATTTTCTCTCTCCATCAGCCATTCATCATTTCTCTCTCTCTCTCTTTTATTACTTCCATTCGTCGCGTGCGCACGCGACGATATACTAATTATCCAGGCAAAGTAATCGTAAATTGATTTTATTAAGCAATTTCACGGACCGTCCAGCGAGGAACGTTGAAACCAAGGTTAAGAAGGATCGACGTTTGTCGGAGACGGAAGATAACACGGACGTAGATTCTTGGCAGCCATTATCGTTCGCTTATCGGTTACGCGCCGTTAATAAGGCGGTTTTCGCGAGATGCTCAGAATTATCGTTCGTCGCGGATCGCTCGTGAACGTGGCTCACGTCGGTGGCACATTTAATTGGCCGATAACTCGACGACGACGCGTCGCGATGGGAGAACGCTTTTACCTGCGCGAAACATCCCGAACTGTGCTTGTATTATTTAATCGCCCTCGTCGATTGAGATATTACGGTATACAAATGCTATGAGCGTGAGTCCGTTGGAAGCCTCGAGGTGGTTGCCTCGATAAGTGCTCGAAGAACGCTTGTTATTGCGCGTTGTTTAGCGCATCGTTTCAGACAGCGTTGCACCGCCGTACGGTTCGATGCACCGCGGGGATCAAATATTCAGAGGTGCAGCTGGGATACGCGCTCAACTATCCGCTGCAACTTTCGTTAGGCCATTCGCTGCCTGACTGCCTCGTATAACCGCTTCGCCGCCTACGTAAGTAGACCTATCTCGATGAAATTTAGACACGAAGAAAACTTACGAGAGCCGACCACCGTAAAAGATGAATCATGATTGCTGGTAACAGCCCGAAAAAAAAATATGCCGAGCCGGCTCTTGTGCAATCATCGTGATACGTATCGCGTTTAATGTCGCCTTCTTAGAGCGCCATTAACGCGCTCGCTATTTGTACACGCTTCGCGTATGTACTGTGTAGTATCACAGGGCCGCAATAACAATTAGCTCTAAACGTTTTTGTAATTGCCATGGCGAGAATGACCGCGTGATCGCGCGACGTTTTGCTTCTGGAGACTCGATGGTTTAATAATAATAATTGGCGGAGACGATTAGCCGTGCGTTCGCAGTATCGCAGACACGCGTGAGGGTACATCCTGACGAGGATGGCTCGCGAGATCCACAGCGAGCACTCGGCGAGCTGACGTTTCACCGACAAGTAAAAAGATCGTCCGAGGCGACGAGACGTTCGAACGAAGAAGAAAAAAAAAAAGAAACAAAGAAAAAGAAGAAGAGCATGGAGGATGGAAAAACGACAGTGGATGGTAACGGCGCGTAATTGATCGTCCGGCGAAAGTAATGAACGGGCAGCATCCCGGTGGGAGTGTGCGCGATGGAAATTACAAAGTAACCGGAATCGATGGCGTGCATAATCGCTGCTTGTTATAGAATGTCTTTTACAGCCTAGATCACTTATCGAGGCCCGCGTAATTATAGCCGATACGCAATCGGCTTGCCGTGTCTCTGCCGTTTTGCCGTGAAGCCGAGCGAGAGATTTGATACCGAGCGGAATAAAAAGCCGAAGCCAAGGGAGAAGATGGAAGCGCGATCGCTGCTCGAAGTTGCACAATACTTCTTCTCTCTCTTTCTCTCTCTTTCTATAAATATTCGCCGTGTTGTGTGCACGAAACTATGAAGAATATGTTTATGCGGTGCTCGGGCCCGCCACGACATCCGTCTTCCTGACGTTTCGCGGCGTATATTTTTCTTCCAGCTCCCCGGCAATTATACAAAGCTAATCGTCGGTACCCACCGTTAAACCCGAGGAAAGTGGTTTTATCGTCCAAGAAACGAATGTTGTTCTGGAGCACGTCGCGAGCACGGCCGAACGAAATGAGAGTGGGCAGGAAAGGTGGATAACTTTGTACCTTGGCTATTGTGGACGTTAAGGTCACGTGAAGACGAGTTAAGAAAGTAAATTCCGATAAAACTGGTGCCTTGCAATAGAAACACCGGCTGCGTGTTATTTATTACGAGCCGCGTAATTTGGACGCGTTGAGTCGTGAAAGACGTGCTGCCATGCAGAGTGGGAACGAGATTTCAATTTATCTGTAGTACGCGTTTGACTGTATAGTTTTCATAAACAAATATTCAAAAAAATGTATCAAGATTTACTCGGGAAAACAAACAATTATAAAAAATACGCGTTTTTTAATATATTGTTTAAACAAATGGTTTCTTCGCAGAATGATTACATCATTAAATTAAAAAGTTGTTAAAAATACTAATTTGCATAGACTGTTGTGACTTCAGTGTAACTTTTGAGATATTTGACGAAATAAATTCCGGAGTTCCAACTTTGAGGGTAGTTTACACTCCTTCAATATGGACGATTGCCGATAAGAAAGAAAATATTTTTTCAAAAATTACACTCGCGCTAAATTTCGCCAAAAAACCGGTGGTTTACACTTTGGTATGTTCCTTTGCAACTGGAGAAATCAAAGTTAATTGCGATCGAAGAACTTAGAGGTCGCGCCGGTCTTCGCGTGATTTCTACCGATTCCTTCGCCGGAAATAAGACAAAGTCAATCTAATTACGTCAGAAGTTTTAACACGCACGATAAATCCAATCGAAAAACAAAAGTCCGAGATCGTGAATCTTGGAGAAGTCGGAACGATCTAGAAGCAAGGAACGAGACAAAAGCAATTCGTCCTCCACGTCAAAAGTTGCAGGCTCGGCAAAAAGCTCTCGAAGCGACATCACGCGTTTCGTTTCGAGACCTGGAACTCCTCTTACCATGAAATTCAGCCACTGAGTGTCGTATTAAGGGTACGAACTATCCAATTCGGACAAGAAATCGTCAAAGACTGCCGAGAAAGAAACGATCGATGGAATACAATGAGGATTCTTCGGAATTCGGGGAATTGGTTCGTTATAATCGTGGCTCGGTTTAGCCGTAAAAAACAGAGCCTGCCCCTCGGGCTTGGCGATCCTCTTTCGTCGACAAGAAACGCGTGATCGAACGTGGACAAAGTGAATAACTGTCGGGACGCTATCTGAACCGGCCCATCGGGCTCGTCAGACCTTGCGATGCGAGCGTACGCGGCGCGTGGGACGATTTGAAGACCGGTCGCTGGATAGGTAACTAAGGCAGCAGGTAGCAGGTGTCACGTTGGTAACGATCGCTCCGATCGAGATACGAAAATTCGACGGAGGGCATCCACGTCGTTTAGCGGCAGGTATACGTGGCACAGGGAGCACAAGTTTTAGTCAGATTAGGCATAATCGATCGGTGTCGATACTTTGCCAGGAGGGGAAAAACGCCGACGCGAGATTTGACTGCCGGCTCTCTCTTACAACGCGGCCAACTATCTTCCTCGACGATCAACGGCTACAATTGCTTTTTCACAAAGGGGATCACCTTCCTAAGATGTCTGGGTCTTTTCCCTTTGAATCTTTCCATGTAGATCGTAGTCGGATCCTCGATTCGTAGAGCTTTCACAGCACCGTCATCTCCGTATTGCCTCAACAAAGTGGATGCTTTTGTGAGCCGCATTCGGAGAGATTCTCGTGGAAAACTGCGTCTATCCTTTAGGATTATAGCCACGTACAGTGGCTGACTGAAAATATACGAAACAGAATTTTCACGTAGATACGTATTTTGCGTAATACGAAACATTTGGAAATATCATCAACACTATAATAAGAGTCGGCTATTATGATTACATTGTTGAAAATTAGTCTGAAAATATACATGCATCGAAGTTATAATGTATTTGTTGCAAATATGTACATACTTAATAAAAATTAGTATATAGCACGAATAATGTTAATGATAGATCCAGTGAATATTGAGACTGAATACTTTTAAATTTCCAAATATACTTTTGAATCTCTTGCAAGCCTAACCAAAATATTCACGAGAGTTGTGTCTTGTCACAATGTCAATGAAACTCCAAAATTTGTACTCTATCGTACAAGACGCACAATGTATTCATAAACAGTTCCTAGGAGCGTTCGAAACTGTATATGCACGATAGAGAGATATCCAGTAACAAACGGATCCTCGTTGCTGACGAGTTCTATCGAATACAACGTTAAAAACGGTGCATATACCTGTTAGCACTGATGGTTTCACGTTGCAATTAATTCCACGTTAAAATGTTTACCCCGGTCATTTAGCTCACTGCCGGACGCAATGTATTTCGCATTAAAATGTTTATATCTGATAATCAGCAGTGCGAACGAATCCCTGAATTAATGTATGTATATTTGTTCCGGAAATCGGTAGTGATCAATTGGCACACTATATCAATTAACGTCGAACGTTAAATTCCAACTGAAACACCGTAACGCAATATTCGCTAATGCTTTTTCTCTCTTTTTTTTTTTTTT